AAAAATCAAACGTCAAAATCCATAAAATGTATACAACGTCAAAGGTGAATTTTAATGTGCACTATAAACTCTGGGTGATAATGATGTGCCAATGCACATTCTTCAATTGTAACAAATATACCACTGTGGTGCATATTGATAGTGGTGGAGGTTGTGTGTGGGGATAGGAAATGAACTCTCTGTACTTTCTGCTCAATTTTGCTATACACTAAAATGGCTCTAAAAATAAATTTTATTAATTAAAAAAGTCTATTATATTATTTACAAGACAAGTAATCCACTAAATAACTTTACGGTATGTAAAATATAATCCTGAGTTAAAATTAAAGCTTTAATGAAAAAACACAGTGACCTCTAAAACTTCCTTAATACAAAATAGAAGGTAAAATATTACTGTTTACTTTGCAAGCATCCTCTGTGAAACATGAAATACATAAAATCAAAACATGATCTAAAATATATTTAACATGAGGTCAAAATCTTGATTAAAATTAATTACAATTAACACAAGGGTCATTTAGACATCCATAGGTAATATTATCTATGCAAATTACTCTGAATAAAAGAAGTATATGTGACTAAAATTAGAAACTACTACCTAAAAAACCTGACCGAATCTTGCTGGTAGTTAAAAATTAGTTAAGAGCCAGGAACCAAGCAAGTACTTTAACATGCATTACCTCGTATCATCTTTTCAACACTATGATATATGTACTTTGACAAGTAAGGAAATGGAGGCTCAAAGTAAAACAGATTACCAAAAACAACAACCTGAAATAGTCAAGGATGGATTCCACATCTGTCTGTCTACAACACTTAAAGTCCTAACCACTACATAGTAGTAACTTCATTTTCTATGTTAATTTCTTGATAGAAAAAAATTAAAGATTTATGGTTTCTATTCTAATTATACTAGATGCTGTGCACATACAATAGATGTTCTAGTTACCACCAAACAGTGATTCAAAAGGAATTTTTAGAAGACAGTTGCAGAGAATAGCCGCTAAAATATAAAACATATAAATCAAAGTGCTTCTGGGGTGCCTGGGTGGCTCAGTCGGTTGAACATCCAACTCTTGATTTCAGCTCAGGTCATGTTCTCAGGGTCCTGGGATCGATCCCCCCATCGATCAAGACTCCCGCAGTGGATTTTCTCTCTCCTCTCCCTCTGCCCCTCCCTTGCCCTGCTCTCATGCATGCTCCCTCTAATAAATAAATAAATATTTTTTCAAAAGTGCTTCTATGGGGCGCCTGGGTGGCTCAGTCGTTAAGCGTCTGCCTTCGGCTCAGGTCATGATCCCAGGGTCCTGGGATCGAGTCCCGCATCGGGCTCCCCACTCCACGGGAGGCCTGCTTCTCCCTCTCCCACTCCCCCTGCTTGTGTTCCCTCTCTCGCTGTCTCCCTGTCAAATGAATAAATAAAATCTTAAAAAAAAAAAAAAAAAAGTGCTTCTATGGCTTTTTTCCCTATTTAAATCTGCATTTGTATAAAGATACAGTCAAACTTTTTTATGTAGTATCACTTCATTTGCCGCTCCAAGAACGTATAGCAGTTTAAGTTTAGGGAGAGTTCTCAGTCAACATATATAATAAAGTGGGGTGAAATAAGACAAGTCTATGACTATTAAACTCTAGTTAGGGCTGTTAAAGCATCCTGGAATATAAGTAAGCAAAATACCTGTGACAAACTAGAAAAATGAAGGAGAAACTAATGAGAAAATAAAATTCAATCAAATGCTTATGTACCAGAATTTAGCATTTACTGACCACTTTCCATATGTCTGAAAACTGTGCTACATATTGGGAATATAGAGATAAAAGCTACATACAGAACAGGCATGTACAAAAGGCTATGGGCACCTAACCTGAGGGGAAATGGGGGCGAAATGGGAAGAAAAAAAGTTCGAGAGGGCTTCCTACTGAAACTGGTATTTGAACCAAGCCTTAAAAGATGAACAGGCAGTGAGAAGGTGAAGAAAGGCAAGGAACAAGATGTGTAAAGGCACAGAAACAAGAACGCCTAATCCACTTAGAGAACTAAGAGTTTAACATAAGATACACAGGACAGATGTTGGGAGTGAAATGAAAGAGAAAAATAAGGCCTACAAAGAGTCCTTCATGAGGGTGAATTTTATCTTGAAGGTCAGTGAAGGAGGTTAAATGTGAAACTGACATGAAGAGACACATAAGAAACAGTAATCTAGGTTAAAAAAAGAGATGAGGTCCTATACTAACATAGTAGCAATGAAGATGGACAAATAAAAAAAACTACAGAAAGAGACAGAGAACGAGGGAAAGCGAAACATCTAGGATGTTTATAGTGTCATTAACAGAGTAAATGGTGATGCTGTGACTGAAGAGACAAAGGGCATTATCACATTACCTTAAAGTGATAATTAACTCCTGTCCTTTGGGGATCAAGGAAAAACTTTTAGAAGGAAATACCTAGTATGGGATTTAAAAGATGAATAGGAATTAAAAACCATGGGTTGGAGTTTGAAAGTTGGCAGTGAAGGGAAGGCACTGGTTAATGACAAAAGAAGAGGCTAGAGTGGTCACAAGATGCCAGATAAAAAGTGCTTTAAAAGAAGTCATCTTGGGTGCCTGGGTGGCTCAGTTGGTTAAGCGACTGCCTTCAGCTCAGGTCATGATCCTGGAGTCCCGGGATCGAGTCCCGCATCGGGCTCCCTGCTCAGCGGGGAGTCTGCTTCTCCCTCTGACCCTCTTCCCTCTCGTGCTCTCTATCTCTCATTCTCTCTCTCTCAAATAAATAAAATCTTTAAAAAAAAAAAGAAGTCATCTTAGGATTTTTGGATTCTATGATTCAAAAAACAGCTATGTTAGGGTGATAAGGAAGAGAACACAAAAGGATCATATTTTGCAAAAATGATTGTGATTGCAAAATGAAAATGAACTAGACTGCTAAACCAAAGCTGAAAGGAGAGGTAGGAAAAAAAAATAACCCAACTAAGAGAGGACAGTAACTTGAGTTAGAATGGTGTCAAAAAAAAAATACGTAAGTGGATACACTTGAGAACTAGGATTGGTGTCTTGTAAGAGTGGAGTTAAAGCTAATACACACTGTATTCTATATAACCACTCATCTACCCATCTACCCTTTATTAAGCAACAAATTTATTAATTTACAAAAAGTAAACCATTTGCTAGTTTTTCTTAAAATTTCAACAGCTGAATTAATTCCAATTTAAAAAGCCCACCAAGATTAGAAAAGGTTTGAAGATGGAAATAGATTTTGAGGTGGATTTGGAAAAATAAGCAAACAACCACCTACTTATTAATGGAAAATAATAAAAATGGATTAAGGAATATAAATGAAATCTTGATCTAAAACATTAAGGATGATAATAAAAATCTGGCATGTGGAACTGAGAGGATGGTAGTACCATTTACTAACAGAGAAAACACAGGAAAAGGCAAGGGGTGTGCATAAGTGTGTGTGTGTGTGTGTGTGTGTGTAGAGAGAGACAGATTGGAATGGGAATGTGTGTGTGTGTGTGTGTGTGTGTGTGTTTTAGTAAATACAGTTTTGAAAAGGCTACATTAGAAGTACTGATAACCACGAAGAAAGGATATGACATTCAAAATTGAGATATATTTAATACTCAAGAGAGAAAAGTGGACTGGAGACAGAAACTTGGATGTCAGAAGCATATATGTGATAACTGAAACTCTGAGAGTAGCAAATTTTCAAGGAGAATATGTAGAGTAGGAAGTAAGATGACCAAGACAGATCTTTAAAAGATACATACATTTTACAAATTGGTAGTGTAAATGATGTCCATGGAAAAGACTGAGAAGATGAGCCAGAGGAGTTAAAATGAAAATTAGGAGATCAAGGTATTTGAAAAACTAAAGACAAGAGAGTCTTTTGGGAAAAAATAAGTCAACAATATTCAATGCTGCCAAGTTAAAGACTCAAATGTCTATGGCACTGAGCATCAAAAGACAGTTAATCTTTAAAAGGCAATCTCATTTAAGAAAGAAGAAAATGGAAGGTGAGACAGAAGAGACTGGTACAAGCAAGTCTTTCAAGAAAACCTGATTATAAAGATGACAGGATATGGAGGCCAGAATTAGGGATATATAATTGAAGCAGAGTTTTTGGTTTCATTTTGTTTTCTAAAAGGAGAACCAGTAGAGAACAAAAAGCTGACGACAGAAGATAAAGGACGTATCTATAGAAGAGTCCCTCATGTAGCACAGTATGGGAATCAAAGCACAGATGAAACATTACCTTTCAACAAAGGAAAAAAAGAATATATCCACATAAAAATATCAAACTGTGCATGCGTGTGCGTGTTTGTATGTATTTTCTACTCACAAAAACTTAAGTTCTTGCAGAACAAAAAAATTATATGTTTGGACACATCTGTAAATCAAAATTTTAACAATGGTCTTAAAAAAAGATGGGATCATGGTCTATATTGTTTTATTATGTTCTTTCACACTTTCCCAACTTTCTAGGTATAATAAGCATTTAATTATTTAAAAATCTCTTTGCCCACTGAACTATAAAAAGTAGTTCATCATTAATGCAGAAAATTTAGAAAATAAATAAAAGCAGAAAGGGAAAAAACAATACCTATATAACCTACCAATGTACTGCTTTCAGAGGTTAAGAAAATATATATCAGTTATATTATTTAATATTCTCTCAGAAAAAGGAATATTAATGGAAACACAGAATTGAGATAATAAAAACTAATAACTGACTCTATCATTCAGACATGAAGAAAGAGTGGATTCCAATTTCCTCTTAGCTGCTAAATCTTCATTTTAAAAGAGGATTAATAAGTCTCCACTTACAAAGGCTGAATTCAGGTATTTGAAGATTATTTAGAAGTAAATTTTAATACTGCCTTCCCTCCTGGCCAAAAGTATTTTTAATATTTAAGTATTCGTGTAAATATAAATAATATCTAACATTCATGCTCACTGGCAACGATTTAAAAAAAAGGCAAATTAAAATGGAGGCTTACAGTTGTGGTAAATTGGGTCTAACAAAGGGATCATTCTCTGCTCCATTGACTGCTTTGTTTTTCCTTTGTTTTGGTTCAGAATTGGTAGAGGGTGCCTGAGAATTATTAGCTGTGGGAGGTTTGCGTTTGGCTAGAAGTTTCCTTTGCCTTTCAATATCTTCCCTTTGCTGATTCACCCATTCTTGTTGCCTGTATAAAAATAAATGTAAAAAACCATATTAACTTTTCATTACTCTTCACAGTTAAAACATGAATATATTAATAAACATGAAAAAGCATATAACATAAACAAAAATTATGGTTCCACTTTTTTGAACCTACTTGTACTCACTGTCCAGGTTTCATTTGAAGCATTCATTTCTAAATTCCCTAAATCCCCTGAACTAGGGAAAGATGTATTGCTATACTTAATCTCATGGTACCTTGTAGATCTCCAGCTCCTTCTTCCTAGTAAGTATCATTCTAATGAGAACAGAGACCACATCTATTTTATATCCTATCGTATCCCTAGTGCCCAGCATAATCATCAGCACATACTAGGAATTCAGTAAATACTTGCTCAATGAAACAAATAGGCTATTAAAGAACAGAGATAAGCATGGAGTGAATTTTAAACGTGCATCTCATCACTTTGTGTTTGTAGAAAAACTTTAAAAGGACAATTAATTTGATAAAGTGTTATTTTCTAAATTTGTCTTTGTCAGAAAGATTTTGGGAATGTGCAAGCACTACCCTGAAATGAAACAAAAACTGACCTAAATATAAGAAATTTAGGAGGAAAGAATTTTGACAGTTTGAAGGAAACAAGAAAAAAAAATAAGGGAAACAAGAAAAATTAGCATGGCTATGAAAAATGAGCAATTAATAAAAGTAAAAATATTACTGCTTCCCATTCAGGAATCTGAAGCTTACTAATTCTAAAAAATACTAAATATCATGTGTATTATAAAAATATAGGTTAGAGATTTCAGCGATTTGACCAGGGCAAGAGTAGGTGACAGTGAAGCTTTTTAAAACTATCCCATCACACAACTTGTTCTCACAGTAACCATGTTCCCATTTCGGTCACCTCAACATGCTAAGAAAAAAATTTTAAAACTTTACATGGTTATGATACTTAGATTTAAACAAATGTTTCAATTCCTTGGCTCCCCACCCCACTCAAAGCAGAACTACGGAACTTCTACTCTGCTGACCCAAAATTGTCTTTACATACATTGCCTGTTCCTACGATTCTAGCCAGACGGTAGTAGAGTACGACCAGAATGAAAGAATCACAATAGCCACCCAGGCAGAAGAGTAAAAGGATGGAGAAAATTCAAGAATAGCAAAGCTAGAACAGGAGTTTAATCCAGTTTTCTTTTGGAAAGAGAAATAAATAACTTCATTTTATTAAAATAGTTAATTTATAAAGCTAGTTTAGAGCACAATCAAGATGTTATAAATGAAAACAAATGGCAATAATCCTAATGTTTAAAATCCTAAGAAGTAAAGAGTTACTGGAATAAATATAAAGCTAATTATCTGTTTATTTAGGAATGACTACACAATTTAGAGATTATTAATTTAATATTACTAATATTTATTTCTCTTCTCATCCACCAACTACTTTGGGTTATGTCACTGATAAACTACTTAATTTACACTGATAAGCAGGTTTATTTAAAATCTGCATATGTAACAACACACAGTAGGCCCTCAATACAAGAAATGCAAGTAACGTTTTAAAAACTAGATGACTTATTATAAAAGGATATAACTTAGGAACGGCCAAATCGAAGAGATGCACAGAACAAGGTATGGGGTAAGGGTGTAGGGCTTCCAGGCTCTCTTTAACTGTACAATTCTCCCAAACCTCCATGTGTTTCACGAACCCAGAGGCTCCAATTTTGCTCCTGACAGCTTGATGAAGAAATTTTTACTACAAACACAGCTTATATCTTAGATTTGTTATTTTTAGTTTGTATTTAAGGTTATATTATGTAGCCTATTTTATTCATCATCAGGACAACTGTAGATCTGAGTTTAGTAGCAGAGGCTCTTACTTATTTAACATGCAAAAATCATGGTTTCTATCCCAAATATATCTCCTATTCTCTACCTTTCACTGTCAGCATTTTAGCTCAAGCCTAATCACCTTAACATCTGGATACCTCAGCTGTCAATAATTTATCTTCCTTCCAATATTAGGCCCACATTACCTACCACCAGTTATCTTTCTAAAACTCAGTTCTGACCACACACACTACATTCAAACCTTTAATAGCTCCATATTATCCATAGAATTAAAAGCCAAACTCTCTAGCATCACAAGAATGATGTTCTTCATTATGGTACACCTATCACCCAGCACAGCTGGTGTTTAACAAAAGCTGAATAATCAACTGTGAGAGAGAGAAGGCCATTCTGTGCGAAGTCCTGGGAACTAGTGTTTGAAACAGCCATGTTTATATATGGAGATACATTTTGTCTCCATTTTCCATATAACTCTAGGAAATCTGATATAGATGCTGGTACTACTCCTGTTTTTGAGGTTTAAAAAAATTTTCCAGTGAAAACAAAAAAGCAGCACAGGTCCTGGCTCCTTAATACATAGTCAATCTATCCCTTTCTACCATCATCTGAACTCAATTTCTGTTTTAAAGTTTGCCTCAGAAATGCTAAAGCTACATATTCCTCAACTGATTTATGCATTATTGTATCTGAAGCAGAAGAGAAAAAGTTCCTGTCTTTTCCATAGGAACAGAAAGCAGGCAAGTGCTGAATATTAACACTGAAGTAAGGACTGGAGAATGTGGAAAAAACTAAGTAGAAAAATCCCAAGATACATACATACATACATATATACGTGTACATATATATATATACACACACACATGTAAATCTTCCAATGAAAATTAAAATATCCTCCCAAATCATCTATATAGCCAGAAGATCAGTTTATATTTTGGAAAGTCATACTTAGAATAATACATCATATAATATGGATGAATGCTAACTAATCAAGAAGTCTGCTAAAGCTGATATTGTAATACTTTCATGTTCCTTTCAAATGTACTAAATTCTGTGATTTCAAAGAGCAGTAAGGAGTAGAAATAGAACATAATTCCAAATCTATAATCTTTGGAAGTAACAAAAACTCAAACTACATTTTTTAAAATGTAAGAATGACTAACTTCACAAGATTCTGAAACGCAAAACCATCTGTCCATTGTTCAGTAAATGAAGCACCATGTCTAACTGTTGTGAAGTGCCCAAGGCGTAATCGGTCTTGCATACTCTTCTCTCTGCTTGACAGTTTTTCTTGTGTACTCTGAAAAAAGGAAAAATCATCAATTTTATTCATTTAAATTTAAAACTGTACAAGGTGAAAAGGGGCCAGTGGAATGAAAAGGAAATTCACTGAACTTTTAACTTACCTTTTCAATAAGCAGCTTCTTGCTCATTGATATGCACTTATTTAATCGTTCTTTGTATTTTTCAAGTAATTTTTGTTGTTCATCTATCTGCCGTCTGAGATCACAGTTAGCCTACAACATAAGTAAAAATAGAAAAGGTCTAGAATTTGTGTATATGGGACACTTAGGAATATTCTTATATTCTGAATAAATTACATAAAAAGAAAGGATTAATGAATTGAGTATTTGAGTATGATATTAAATAATTTTATTTCTTAAAAATTTTTATTTATTTATTTGACAGAGAGAGACAGGCGAGAGAGGGAACACAATCAGGGGGAGCTGGAGAGGGAGAAGCAGGCTTCCCGCGGAGCAGGGAGGCCAATGCAGAACTCAATCCCAGGATCCTGGGATCATGACCTGAGCTGAAAGCAGACACTTGCTTAATGACTGAGCCACCCAGGTGCCCCTAATTTTTTTTTAAACATCTACTAACCATGTGTAATACTGTTAAATGCTGCATAATTGTGCAGCGTAAAGTACATGGAATTTGTATCCACACTCCATGGGTTCAAATCAACACCATAAGGTATGTAACCTTGGCTAAGTTAAGTCAGTTATCTGAACTTTAGCTTATTTTTTTTTTTTTTGTATTTCTAGAACAGAGGAAATACCAGCTACTTCACTTAGTTAAAAATAACTAAAAATAGTATATAAAGTGTCTAACACTTAAAAATAAATGTGAGTTCTCTTCCATCTTTTTTAACTGATAGTTTTTCCTCATTAAACTTGTGGATGGCACTATAGATGCCTACCTAATAGCTAACTATTTCCACCATCTTTCTTGGCAACAGGATACCAATTTTGTTGACTTTGTAGGAAGCCACATTGATCAGGGAAGGGGCCTTTCTCTAAGCTCAGGAGATGAGCTGGATTAATCCAGTACAGTGACAAAAGAATAACCTGGAGGGCTTCTTGTAATACAGATTGCTGGGACACACTCCCAGAGGAGTTTCTTTGTAAGTAGGTCCCCAGTAATGGATGCTTCTGGTCTGGGAATCAACTTTGAGAACCACAGGTCTAGGCCAATCATGGTGGAAGGCAAAAGACAGTGGCATAATATATTGCAAATGCTAGGAGAAAATACCTGCCAATTTAAATTATATACCTAATCAAAGTGTTTTTCAAGGAAAAGGGTAAAATAAAGAGACTCTCAGAAGAACACAGATGGAATTTAGCAAGAACAAAGCCATTTCATTAGGTGCAATTCAAACAAAATCCCAACAAACTGCGTGTGTGAGAGAGTCTTCCTCAACAAATGGTGTTGGGAAAATTGGACAGACACATGCAGAAGAATGAAACTGGACCATTTTCTTACACCATACACAAGAATAGACTCAAAATGGATGAAAGACCTAAATGTGAGACAGCAATCCATCAAAATCTTAGAGGAGAACACAGGCAGCAACCTCTTCCACCTCGGCCACAACGACTTCTTGCTAGACACATCTCCAAAGGCAAGGGAAGCAAAGGCAAAAACGAACTACTGGGACTTCATCAAGATAAAAAACTTTTGTACAGCAAAGGAAACAGTCAACAAAACCAAATGACAACCTACAGAATGGGAGAAGATATGTGCAAATGTCTTATCAGATAAAGGGCTAGTATCCAAAATCTATAAAGAACTTATCAAACTCAACCCAGAGAATAATCCAACCAAGAAATGGGCAGAAGACAGGAACAGACATTTCTCCAAAGAAGACATCCAAATGGCCAATAGACACATGAAAAAACGCTCAACATCACTCAGCATCAGGGAAATACAAATCAAAACCACAATGTAATACTACTTCACACTGGTCAGAATGGCTAAAATTAACAAGGCAGGAAATAACATGTTGGTGAAGATACGGAGAAAGGGGAACCCTCCTACACTGTTGATGGGAATGCAAGCTGGTGCAGCCACTCTGGAAAACAGTATGGAGGTTCCTCCAAAAGTTGAAAATAGAGCTACCCTATGACCCAGCAATTGCACTACTGGATATTTACCCCAAAGACATAAATGTAGCAATCCTAAGGGATACCTGCACCCCAATGTCTATAGCAGCAATGTCCACTACAGCCAAACTATGGAAAGAGCCCAGGTATTTATCGACAGATGAATGGATAAAGAAGATGTGGTATATATATACAATAGAACATTACGCAGCCATCAAAAAATTGAAATCTTGCCATTTGCAATGATGTGGATGGAACCAGAGGGTATTATGCTAAGCGAAATAAGTCAATCAGAGAAAGAATTATCATATGATCTCACTGATATATGGAATTTAAGAAACAAGGCAGAGGATCATAGGGGAAGAGAGGAAAAAATGAAACGACGAAACCAGAGAGGGAGACAAACCATAAGAGACTCTTAATCACAGGAAACAAGTGAGGGGTGCTGGAGGGGAGAGGGGTGGAGGGATGGGGTAACTGGATGATAGACATTAAGGAGGGCATGTGATGTAATGAACAGTAGGTATTATATAAGACTGAGAATCACAGGCCTATACCTTTGAAAGCAATTAATACATTATATGTTAATTAACTGAATTTAAATAGAAAATAATTTAAAAGTAAAAAAAAAAACAAAAACAAAACCCACACACAAACAGTAATCCATTAAGAAAAATGAGTAAAAAAATATGATTGGTTATTTCTCAGAAGAAATGCAGTTAATAAATATTTTAAAAGATGCTAGAAAACTGAGAACACAATAAAAGATAAAAGACACTGGGGTGCCTAGGTGGCTCAGTCGTTAAGCGTCTGCCTTCGGCTCAGGTCATGATCCCAGGGTCCTGGGATCGAGCCCCACATCGGGCTCCCTGCTCGGCTGGAAGCCTGCTTCTCCCTCTCCCACTCCCCCTGCTTGTGTTCCCTCTCTCGCTGTTTCTGTCAAATAAATAAAATCTTAAAAAAAAAAAAAAAAAAAAAGATAAAAGACACTGTTACATCCACCAAATTGGCCAAGAAATTTATTATATCCGATTATAATAAGCCTTAGCAAAGATAATAAGCAACAACATTATTTACTGCCCATTGATGACAGGAGTGTAAATTAATCCAACCGCTTTGGGGAAAATTTGGCATTATAAAGCAAAACTGAACATGCCACGTACTCTGGCCACGTTATCTCTTAAAGCATATACTGTTAAGACAAATTTTCCACATTTGCCCTAAAAGACATGTACAATAATGTTCTTAGCAGAACTGTTTGTATTAGCAAAAAGTAGAAATAAAATGTCCACCAAGAGCAGAAAAAATAAATTATGGTATATTCATATAATGCCTTACTATATATATAGCATGAAATGAACAAAGTACATGGCAATTCCACATATAACGTTTAGTGAAAACAAGCAGAGCAAAAGGGTACAGACAGCATAATTTTATGTAAAGTTCAAAAATAAACTGAAGGGCGCCTGCCTGGGTGGCTCAGTCGGTTAAGCGTCTGCCTTCAGCTCAGGTCATGATCCCAGGGTCCTGGGATCAAGTGCCATGTCGGGCTTCCTGCTCAGCGGGCAGTCTGCTTCTCTGACCCTCCCCTGGCTTGTGCACTCTCTCTCTCACTTTCTCTCTCAAATAAATAAAATCTTAAAAAATAAACAAACTGAAATATGTTAAGAATGTATAGATACATGTGATAAAACCATAATAATAAGGCATAATAAATACAGAACTTAGAACAGTTAATGGTAAAAGAATGTGAGAGAGTGACTGGGATGGAATCAGAAAAGGCAAGCTGGATGTTTCAAAGGTATCAGTAATTGTGGTAGGATCACAGATAAGACATTGGTTTTATTGAGTTTTTATACCAATAGTTCTCAATGCTGGCTTAAATTATAATCATCTGGAGGAGCTTTGTTTTGGTTTTTGTTTTTTGGAGGAGCTTTAAAACTACCAATTCCCAAGCCCACATCAATTTAATCAGAACCCCTCACTTTTGGAGTTTAGGGATGGGTACCTTCATAAAGTGCCTCCCACCCTTCCCATTCGGTGATTCTACTGAGCAGCAAGGGGTGAGAACCACTGCTTCTTACCTTACTCACATTATAAGTATTTTTTGATGTGTCCTTTTATAAAGTTTCCATTAAAAATCTCACAGGATTGCAGTAGTTACTTCATCTTGTATAATATCAAATGTCAGGTTTATAACAAAATCAATTACCTTTAAAACTAACATGAAATGGCCATTGGTCTTATGATAGCTGATCAAATAAAAATAAGTTTTACAAACTTCCCTGTATTTCTCCAACTGTTTCTCAGTTCACATTTATTTACTAAAGATTTTTTTATGTATTTTAGAGAGAGCATGAGTGGGAGGAGGAGAGGGAGAGAGAGAGAGAGAAGCTCAAGCTGACTCCACTGTGAGCCCATCTTGGGGCTCAATCTCATGACTCTGAGATCAAGACCTGAGCTGAAACCAAGAGTTGGACGCTTAACCAACTGCGCCACCCAGATGCCCCTCTCAATTTACATTTAAAGAGCTAATAATTTTCACTTTAAAATAGTGATTTTCACGTACTTAAAACTACCAGAAAAAGCTTATTTTTTCCCAGCTAAAGAATATTTTACAATGCTAAGTATTTCCTCAAGTTTTATTATTGCCAAATAATTTACTCAATTTTCTCTCCCTCCATGACTTATTATCTTTATTACCCTCCAAGACTACTTACCCTGAGCAAGTCATCTATACGACCTTCCTTCTTTTCCAGGTCCTGGTTTTTATTACTTTCTAATGCTGCTAATTTCAACATTGTGAGATCAGTCTAAATGAAAGAAAGCTATTTTATTATCTCCATTATACATATCATTGCATGCAAATATAAAACTAGATTTTAGTGCTTCTAAAAACAAAGAAAATATTTGAGTCTGTGTATATAAAAGTTATCCCAAAAAGTCTTAGTACAGTTTTAAGGTTTTAACATCTTCAGAAGTATAAGTTCTATAAGCTTACAAAGAAACATTTAAGAAACTGATTACTAAAAGTTTTAGAATATTGTTATGTTCTTCATTAAAATTCAATATAACCACTGCTTTGTGCTATCAACTCTAGTTGATTTTTGAACATGGCAAAAACTTTCATGAGCTAGTCATTGACTGAAAGCAATGTACTTGTAATCCCAGCCTAAAGATCATCCAAAGAAAGAAGTTTTGATGCATGTACAACAGCTTGGACATGACCTAACAGAAAAGTCTAATGGCAATAAACTGGAGTAATAAAGGTGGCTAAGCAAAAGATCTACTCTTCCAATCCCCGTGGTCTGCTATAGTAAAATCCAAAAACTGTCACATGTAAAAAGTTAAAATGAAAAACTTAGTACTCAAAATTCATAAAATCAAATAAGCATAAAAGATATCTAATTTTCAAATGATATCTGTAAGTGTATAGCATATATGAATATACATAGACACCCCAAATGACCTACTTTAATGTTCACTTATGACAAATATAATAGCTTCAGGAAAACATTGATTATATGTATTTGGATGGTATGTTCAAAAAGAAGCAGTAAACAAAAACTGACATGTCATGCTTGTTCTGTTTATTTAATATCCTTGTAACATCTGCCTATTTAACCTGCATGTAACAAAGGATAAGCTGATAGTAAACTGGGTGTTTCAATTCCTTACCCCCTACCCCCTACAGATTGTTTTTTGTTTAGTAATTCGCTTTCTTGATGTATAATTTTACTTTATGACTATGTCTAAAAACAAAGAGAAGACACCTTATTTGTACTAAGTTTCTTACAAGTTATACAAAAAATTTTATTTATTATTTACCTGAGTAATTTTAAAGGATAACTGCTTTGGTTGTATAATAGGGTGGTCCCCAAAAGCTAACGCAGTAGGAGAAGGGCTATTCGGTCGAACCTTAGAAAAAGATTAAAATTTTTACATTAGCAAGAAAAAGATAGGCTTTTGCTCAGCAACAACTACTTAACACTTCTTAAGTTTTTATCAGGATAACAACTGAATTAAAACATAATTGATTTTTCACAACTTTTAACCATTTTATTCAAGAAGCACTCATTTTTAGAGTACCCTCCCTTACATAAGGCACAGTGGAAAAAACAACCATATATTCCCTGCCCTCAAGCTTACATTCTAGAACCATAAAAAAATTTTTTAATGCTTTCAGTCTGTTAAATATATACAGTATATTAGGTGAAATACAGTATTTCAAAACAAAAATATTAAAAACAGATGATGATGGTTCAAAAAGTAAAACTGAAAAGACCTAATATAGAACTCTTAGTACCAAGGACAATAATGCACATCCATATAGAATATATCAGTTTACTGGTGAGTTTCATGGTTTATCTAGTTACTAGTTTTAAAACACATCATTGAAAACAGACTATATCATTGTATCAATGCCATCACTGTAACTCAAAACTATTGTTGAGTCTGACACTTTATTTTGCATATGGCAATATGATGTAGCCAAGGTACAAAAGGAGTAAGACACAACTAAGTGTGTGTCTCTACAGGCAAGGCATAGAAGGGGACACTGGAAGTAAAAACAGGGTACTTGAAAAAAAATAAGAGATACTCCGATTTTAAAAAATTCTTTAATTCATTTTTAAATTACTGAAAGCCAATGCTGCTTTTCTGGTTAGACATTAAATTTTCATATAATAAAAGTAAAGAAAAAATGAAATCCAATAAGCAAAACAATGCATATAAATAGAACTAGATCTTAAAAAAAAAGCAACAAACCAAAAAGTTGTAAGATAATTTTTAGGCCCAAGATCCTTCTCCTATGTTGAACTAAAATGATCCAGGAATAGGGCGCCTGGGTGGCTCAGTTGGTTGAGCGACTGCCTTCGGTTCAGGTCATGATCCTGGAGTCCCAGGATGGAGTCCCGCATCGGGCTCCCTGCTCGGCGGGGAGTCTGCTTCTCCCTCTGACCCTCCCCCCTCTCATGTGCTCTCTCTCACTCTCTCAAATAAATAAAATCTTTTTTAAAAAATAAATAAATAAATAAATAAATAAAATGATCCAGGAATAAAGGGTGCCTACCTTTCTCTTAAGGAGAGTTAGAAATTAGAAATCAGTAATTGAATATGGATTGATACAAGAGTATTCGTTTTAGTCCCATAGGCTCGACAGCATTCTTTTATAGAAACTTTATTTCTTGGATTTAATTAATTCAAGAAATCTTTAACTTAAGGATCTCACTTGAAGAAATAAAGTTCTAACAGCATCAGATCATTAAAAAGAATTTAACTGGGCACCTGGGTGGCTCAGTTGGTTGAGCGACTGCCTTCGGCTCAGGTCATGATCCTGGAGTCCCGGGATGCTTGGGACTGCTCGGCAGGGAGTCCGCTTCTCCCTCTGGCCCTCCCCCCTCTCATGTGCTCTCTCTCTCATTCTCCCTCTCTCATAAATGAATAAAATCTTTAATGAATAAATAAATAAAAAGAATTTAACTTAACTCACAGAATGATTTTCTAAAAAGATAAAATACAAATAAATATATGTAGAAATTTTCAATGAAAAGTTAATCTGTATACATATACACATAGGTTCAGCAGACAGAAGACTATCTACACATGTGAAAACTTACAGATGAAGAAGGAGTGGAATGTGAATGTGAATTTTGAGGAGAACGGATCGCAGGAGGTATGCCTCTTACTGGACTTGAGCCATTCCCACCTTGGTACTGAGAAAAAAAAAGGAAACATCACTCTTTATTAGAAGAGGTTTAGCTAGATGTTATTTTTGACATGACATTAAGAATTAATTTAAATATATCTTCTTTTAAATTAAATTCGGCAGTGATTTAAATGGGTCAAGAAAAAGCAAAACTAAGGTCAGTTACAGCCGAGTCCTAAAAGACTAGAGAGAGAATACTGATCACAGGAATGTGAAAAGACTATGTTTAGTAAAGACCCTTATTTCTTGAACATTCTGACTATAATTTGTTACTGTGGCAGACTCAAGATAAATTAATTTCCCCCAAACAATGAACATATATTATTTTTCCTTCAAATTTTAATACAGTTCTGTTATAAATGTTTGTTGAAGGGGCGCCTGGGTGGCTCAGTAGTTAAGCATCTGCCTTCGGCTCAGGTCATGATCCCAGGGTTCTGGGATCGAGCCCTGCATTGGGCTCCCTGCTCAGCGGGAAGCCTGCTTCTCCCTCTCCCACTCCCCCTGCTTATGTTCCCTCTCTCACTGCGTCTCTCTGTCAAATAAATAAATAAAATCTTTAAATAAATAAATAAATGTTGAAGCAGTATAATCCCTAATACCCCTAATTTAACATATTTACAAGTAGATATTAGTCAATGTAATAAACCATCTTAAAACAGAATCATCATTCTCAAGATGCTAAAAATCCAAATGTTTGTAAGTACTATATAAAAAATTACATAGATCAAGTCCCTTCCCTTTAACAGCACAAAATCTTATAAAAATCAATCTTTCTTTTATGCACAACATGCATTACAGTGCATGACCTAGGTGCATATGAAGAGAAGCCACCTAATGTATTCCATAGCTACCTCTCAAATTTCTCATGTTTCTCTACCAACAAAAGGAGGAGAAAATTCACTGCTACTGGCTTCCTCTCAGGGTATTAAGAGAAGACAAGAGATGAGGACCTCCTAGTGTATTTTCCTGTAACCTAGGGACTTTGTCTAATTTTTTTTAATCTACAGTGCCTAAGCAGAACTCATGGCACATGAAGAGCATTCAAGACACTTGAGATTTATTTATCTGAATTGATCCAAGCTTTGGTAAGATTGTTAACTGAAACTAACACTGAGGGACTGACCTCAACTAAAGAGCACTAGGTCAGTAACACTAGACCATGGTCAGCAACCGTTTTACCATAGATTCTGTAAACCCAATTAAGAAAAACAATGGATGGTAAAAAAAATTTTTTTAATGCAGCCCTTCCCCTGACTGGCAAATTCTGCTCTCACACTCAAGTAAATATAAATATTTTTCAACTAAGTACATCATGTTTGTTGTTTTAACAATCATATTAACGTTCCATAATGTGAAACTGATAGCCAAAAGTATTTATGTGTAGAAGTAAGAAAATATTCTAGACAGGGTAAGAATCTAAATTTACCACTATTTATTATTTTCAGGGGCTCTTAGATTCACACTTCTATCATTATTTAATTTCCATCTATAGGGCTCAAATGTTGCCGTGGTGCTATCATTAAGGCTGCAATGACAGTAGAAACAGTTCGAAACTAGAAGCTATTAGACTTCAACTTCTCTTTTTGCTCTTCCTTTTTTTTTTTTTTTTTTTAAGATTTATCTATTTGAGAGAATGAGGGAGCACACATGTTTTTTTTTTTTTTTTAGAAGAGAGGGACAGAGGGAAAAGGAGAGAATCTTAAGCTGACTCCATGCTAAGTGGGGGAGCCCTACGTCGGGCAGGAACTCACAACCCTGAGATCACGACCTGAGCTGAAACCAAGAGTCAGATGCTCATCCAACTGCGCCACCCAGGTGTCCCTCTTTGCTCTTCCATTTAGAATTTGACTTTAAATAGGCAACTTTACTTCTATGGTCTTCCGTTTCCTCATATGTAATATAGAAACACTAATACCTACTGTACCTATCTCCTGGGTTGTCATAAGCAAATATGTGAAAAAGTACTCTGAAAATTATGATGTGCCATTCCAATGTAAAAGTAAATTTTAAAGTTCCTAGAAAGACAGGACATTACTGCTCTAATCAAGTAGATAGTCAAAAGTTGACCTTGTGCTTCAAAGAAATTATTTCAGACCATAGTAAAATTATATTAAGAACTGGAGATATTTGTTAATAAACTTACTTCAAAATAGTCACTAATTTTGTGGCCACGTCCCCCAATACTTTTTCCTAAAATATAAAAGTAAAAATTTTTTACAGATTTAAACTTAGTCATGACTACTTATCATATACTATATCAGAAAAAGAATGTGTTAAACTTAATTTCCCTAATACACATAAAAATCATCTGTTTAATAAAAAGAACATGGTATTTTAGTTGGTTAGTGAGGGACACTGAAAAAATTATATTAAGAGCCCTCAGAGGGTAAGATGACAATTTCAGAAATCCAAAAATCAAATGACATTTCAATAGTAATATGTCAATTGTTAAAGTTCCAATTACTGGAGAATCAAATAAATAAATGACACTAAAGGATCTTGTTTTTACAACTACATTATTCATATTGCTTAATGGCTATAATTTCATAAAAGCAAATCAATGAATAAAAAAAGAAAAGTGGCAACTGCATAACTGACAAACCAATTTATACCCGTAAATAATAAAAAAGCTTTAACACAAAACCATACAAACTGACAATAACATGCTTTAACATGAATGTTATTTTGTAAAATGTTTTGATTTTCTAAAAAGTATTCCCAAATTAATAGGATTTTTTTAATAGACTAGATTTTAAATATTGCTCTTATATGACCATATTGATAAATTTTTTTCAAATCATTATATATCACAATTCTTTAATTACAAGTTTTGCTCTAAAACAGACTCATCACTTTTATAAATTTTGAATTAAGAAGGTGCTAAGAAATACAGTGTTAGAGATACTTCTTTGGATGAGAGGCACCCACCCTTCAGTGGAACTATATAAAATACATGATTTCTTCATTACAAAGAAAAATTGACAATACCATGAAATCAAAAGCTTTGGATAATACAAACATACACATTTATCAATTCAATACTGACATATTTATTTATTCAACGAATATTTGAGTGGTTACTATGTGCCAGGCATTATTGAAATGAACAAAGATTACATTTAAAAGTTCAACAACCTTAAATTCTTTTGTGGAACAAGAAAAATTAAGTAAGTACCCAGGACTGTAAATGGTACCTAGTTTTTTTGAACAACAGTTTTGTACAGGTTTACTTAGAGGTCAGAAAGGATTGTAAAGGTTTTACAGCTATACCTTGTTTCACTGAATTTCACTGATACTGTGGTTTTTGGGTTTTTTTAAACACAAATTGAAGGACCTTGCATTGAGCAAGTCTACAGGCATCATTTTTCCAATAGATACCATTTGTTCACTTCATGTCTCTGTGTCACATTTTAGTAATTCTCACAATATTTCAAACTTCTTCATTATTATATGTATTTGTTATGGCAATTTGTTATCAGTGATTACAACTCACTAAAAGCTCAGGTGACAGCATTTTTCAGTAATATTTTTAAAATTAATATATGATGTTTTTTAGACACAATGCTATTGGCACACAACAGACTACAATATCAACATACTTTTATATACACTGGAAAACCAAGAAATTCATTTGACTCGTTTATGGTGATACTTGCTTTATTGTGATGGTCTGGAACCAAACCTGTAGTATCTCTAAGGTATGCCTGTATACCCAAGGAATTTTCGTTCCACCTATAACAACTTTCCTGCAGATTCTGAAGAAGGTGCTATTATTTAAACATGACAGAGATGGTTTGGGTTGCCTATCCAGAAGCTATGTCCCTAATTCTTTTTCCCTAACTGAACCCAAACTTGGCTCTGTTAATTCCCTCCCCCTACATACCACATGTAATATCAGGCGAAGCTAACTCCTAGTTCCCCTCCGCTCCTGATCAGAAATCCAATTTTGTTCAGGTATCGATCATCCCTTCTCCACAACACCCACATTTCTAAAAGGAACTTTACCCACTTTCAATTTCAGAGATGGACCTGGTTTTTCTAAGGGCAATAGGACGTCTGTTAGACATAACTGGCTAAGGAATGAATGGACTCATGACCCAATTCTGGCCGACAAGATTACAGGACAGGTTTGCTCTGGACTTGAAGCTTACCTTCAAAGAAAGAGGGGAAAAAACACAGAAAGCCAACCTCTCTCTAAAGCAAATACAAGTGTGAAAGTTCAAGTAAATCCAGTCAAAACTGACAACCATTCTAAATACATAAGAAAATCAGACAATTCTTGTGGAGAGCAGACCACAAAGAAATAAACATGGATTCTTAAAAACATAGGTTGAATCAACCAACTCAGAAGTCCTAATTTGGGACTGCTTTTAAGTGAGTTTTTAAATCTAAAGTTGAAACTATCATAACTAATATAACTTTACACTAAATAAAGCTCCAAGTCCACTAACCACAACCTCGTGGAACTACACTAAGACCAAAATTGAGCTCTGACCAGACGGAGATACAAAGTACCACACATCTATAGAAAGATGGTAGAGTGACTTAAATTTCCTTCCACACAGACAGTTGCTGCAAATATATTCCTTGATGCCAGTGCCACATGTAAGTACTAGTAAGCCATGGGTTCCTGGCTCCAGTCCTTAAAGCTAAAGAGCAGCTCCAAAACATGTAATCATATGTATAAAGTCATTATATATGACTTAAGAGCCAATTTATTGTATTTAATTTTAAGTGGCCAAATTAAATGACAATACTGTTTTGTTGTCCATTATAAGAGTTTTGTAGATGACTTGAAAATCATCTTCTTAGCCTATATCACAAAGGGCGGGTATGTAAGAAAGAATGAAGAACAGGTATAGAAAGAAAAAGATGATGCTTTAATAAGCATCTCAATCATTTTTATACAGTCTTTTTTAAATAAAGGAATAAGCAAGCTTTCGGTACCTGCACTTTAAAGTGACATCTAAAGTTCCTATTCAAAGACAAGAAGCCATTTCAATACTGTAATTCAGATAAAGAAAGAAAAATGAAAGGTGATAAGGTAATGTTTGCCAGGTTTGGACATGACACTTGCCTTTCTAATTCTCAAGTAAAAAAAAAAAATATGGGAAATGTCAAAAAGCCTAAAAACAGTAATCATACACTACCTGTGGTACAAAAGATTTCAATTTCATATTATTCTTTCTTATGGGAAGTACATTTATAAACTATTATTAATGCATAAATTTATAATAGCTATAGAAATGATAAAAACACAATATTACTTTTAATGTTAAGCTACTTAATTGATTAACAATCAGATTAATTGTAAATACTTATTTGGCTCTGAAGGATTCTGCTTCACTTACCCTGACTACTTTCATTCTGGTTTTCTGCTTTTCTCTTTCTTCCTCTGGATGATTCCGATTGTTTCTTCTCTGGTGTCTACAGAAAGCAAGTTAACAGAATTTAAAGTTACAGTTTTTACATATACTATTATTACAGTCAGTATAAAAATTGTTTTTATTTCAAAACAAAGACTATTTTGTTCATTAGTGCTCATGCGATGTAAATGTATAGTTACCTATATACAATTTATTTAAAAGATAAAATTTCCTACTATGTAAATTTTAAATAGTCAAAGTATAGAATCCCTTGTAAACATTACTTGAAATTCACATTTATAGAATATGACTTGAGATGGATGAAAAATCTGAGAGTAAGCAGCCTTTTAAAGCACCCTTCACTGGATTGGGCAAAACACAATAAAAACAAGTAAAGAAAAAAAAACCCTGTGTTTTTCCTCTTAGTTTTCTATTATTCATACATATTTAGTTTATAAAAGTAAACTTGGATGAAAAGAGCAGAACTCAAACCCCAGTATATATATATACAATCCCTACAATTATTATCTAACAATGAGAGCAAATTCACAGATTATGCTCTAAATCAGGGGGCAGCAAACTACAGCCCAATGGCCAAATCTGGCTAGCCACCTGTTTCTGTAAGGCCCATTATCTAGGCATGACTTTTACATTTTTAAAAAACTGAAAAATTTAATAATTAAAACAATATTGTGATATGAAAATTTTAAGAAATTCAAATTTCAGTGTCCATAAATAAAGTTTTATTGGAACACAGCCACACTCGCTCATTTACGTACTGACTATGGTTGCTTTCACACTACGACAGCAGAGTTAGTTCCCAGAGAGACTATATGGTCCACAAAGCCTAAAACATCTGGCCCTTTACAGAAGTCTGCAGATTCCCAACCCTAGGTGATTGCTTATTCTCAAATCAGCGTTTTCATCAGGTTAAAATTAACAAGTAATTTTTGTGGAGTCTGACAAGCTGTTGTGCTTAAAAATTAAAACTAAGAGCAAAAAGCACAATGCAATGGCACAAGGCCCTCAAATTCTAGAAGCTTGGCAAGTATGTCTGGTGCCAGAACAAAGAATGTTTGAATGAATGATACAACTTAAATCTCTAAAGGCAATGCAGTCCCCAAACAAGAAAGGGAAATAATCCATATTTTGTTGTCTCTGAGTAACCTATGATTAAACAGTACGAATGACAACACACAACCTAACTTGTGTTGAGCATCTACGATTCCTCTTTAGTACTATCATGGGGATTTTAAGTTCTCTCACCCCCATTTTGTCAACATGATAACAGATTCAGAGAGGATGAAGTGAATGTTCTAGTGTCTGAATTCTTTAACAACAGGAGTTCTATCATCTCCCCATCTTACCCTCCCATTTCCTCACGCCTAGCATACAGTTATCACTTGATAAATACATTAATGTTAAGTAACTTATTCAAGGTAACCAAGATTTAAATCAAATTCAATTCTGCATTCCCAAGGCCTAAATGCTCTTTTTTTCTCCATATGACAGACTATGTGCCCTGTATCAAGAACTGAATGAATCAACAATACAAAAATATTTCAAAATTTTATCTAGTTTGTAAATAAAATTCATTATGTCCAATAAACTGCCTACATGTTTTCACAACACAAACCAGAGATCTTAAAGAAATCCACCCTAACTGGCGATCTACTCAGGAGGTAGACTGATGTACCAGCAATTTAGGGTAAATAGGTCATTAGTCATCAGACTCAGACAAATAATCTTTTATTTTCCTCAAAATAAAATAACACCAAATTAAAAATTCTAAGCTAACATTTTTATAAAGAACCTTAAAATCTATCTTAAAAGAGGATTCCCAAATAATATTTATTCACATCCTTCCCTAATCTGTGTTTAAAAAAAATGTAATTTAAGATCAAGAAAATATGGTTTTTCACAACAGTTTAATGTTGTACTAATTTTTAAGCATGACAGGATCCCATCTGAATTCCATCTTAAATCTTGACTAGCTACTTTTGAATAAACAACAACAGAAAATCACACAAAATAACACAATTCTGAAAGTTATACTGGAAACATTTTCTATCTAAATGGTTCTGTATCATTTTCTAAAACATATTCCAAGGAATGGTGGATCAGTTTGGTTGAGAGGCTACATTTTAAATGCAGAGGACAGCACGATGGTTCAACTGGGGTGAGCAAAGTTAGATTTATTTACCACAAAGCTTCTAAATGATAACATTCACTGGCCATCTCCAAAAGGGGAATGGGATGGAAAGTTACAGCGTATGAAGAAATTCTCAAACTTATTTGTAATAACATTCATTAAACACTTTATTGAATATATATTTGAAGATATTTAAGGTCTTTTTTTTTTTTTAAGACCTATAGATTACTTAAGTAAAAACTTTGAGGCAAAATTTCCCTACCTAAATTTTAAATTTAATGGAATGGGGAAGTGGGACAGTCCTTTGAGGGAAATGTCATTTTGTTAAAAACAATGAATGAGAAAAACCCAAATGCGTAATTATTACAGTTGAAAAAAAAAAACAGAAAGGCCAACAGGTTTACCTCCTTTAAACCAGAGAAGAATTTGAGGGGGGAGGGAGAAAGGATGACAAGACTAAAATTAATTTTAAGACTATAATGTATGACTAATGCAGGTAAAGAAGTTGGAAATAGGTAATAAAAAACTGAAAAGTTGAACAAAATATAAAACAAAAAAGGAAAACTGAGATATAAATAAATTCACCTATAAAGTAAATGTTTCCATTATGAACACACCATATTCTGTCCCTTCCTATAAACCCTAATCTTTTTTCACCCATGTCCTAATATTACCACCTCATTCCTTACTCTTACCTCAAATTATTTTAGACTTGTTCTGTCATCCCAAAAGAACCATAATTTCCTAAAAAGCAAGTAGCATGGGTCTCTGAAGAAGCACAGATTGAGACTAAGAATCAAACTCTGGGTCCATTATTTACCATAACTCTCAGCATGTTATTTAACCCAAGACTCCAATTTTTCATCATTTTTTTTTACGGTAATCTCTACGCCCAACATGGGGCTCGAATTCACGACCCCGAGGATTGAGTCACATGCTCTACTCACTGAGCCAGCCAGGCACCCTATTCTCATCAATTTTAAATGTGGTAATACAGGTACAGGATTGTGGGGATTAAATAAGAAACACACCAGAAACATACTTAGTACTCCATCTGGAACAGTTGTGTACTCTATAAATGTCAGTAAGCACCCAATAAATTTTCTTATCTGAATGGCTATCCTATTATTCCAAATATCTGTGTACTTTCCTATTTCAAAACTTCAATCACATGTATTAGCAGTTTCTTCCCAATAGCTTATAAATAACTTGTAGGGCTTGCAAAATAAGTGATGTTTCCTCTTTAAGGTCCCACTCAACTCTCTTTTCAACTATAAGCCACAGAACCAGCAGTCTAGGCCCTAAATATTATATCACTAACCTCAGGAAACGGTGCATTAGTTTTTTTTTTTGTTTGTTTTAAATTTAAATCTGAACAATACCTATATTAAACAAAACAAAAATTCTCAGTGAAGGTTCTGCTAACAATTCCCCTGAGTCACTCATTTCTACATGGATTTGGGAATTTAGAACCTTGGGGATTTACGATATGCAGAAATGTACCAAATATTTAATCTCCAAAATGGCTCATCAGTGAAGAAAAATTCAGAATGCTATCTGTGATTTTCAAACTGTACTCCCAAGATACCTTAGGAAAGGAGGTTGTACCTCAAAAGATGTTAAGAGGAAAAGGGAAGGAAGGAGCAGGGGGCTGAGCGAAGGCTCTAGCCTAACAAAGACACATTCCTATCCTACCTCTACCTCCGTGCTTGCAAACACAGCATCCCCCATTTTAACACACTGAGGTCCCATATTAGACTTACTATGAAGAAAAAGAGTTCTATGGCTTAAAAAAGATTTGAAAAACCACTGATCTTGACCAGTGATTTCCTAGAAAACTCAAGGGACATCAACCAGGCCAGCTTGGCATTTGCACAAGATGTAAAAATTGCACATGTTGCATATTTTACAGAATTTTTTCAAGCTTATTACTGCTCTTGCTGATGCAGTCATTTCTTTCTTTTCTGTTTTTTTTTTCTCAACTATTGCATTACAGTTCACCAGAAAATAGAAGGCAAAATAAATATGGAAAGCAAAATAATATGATACGGCTTTATTTATTTTTAAAGATTTATTCATTTGAGATAGAGAGTGAGCACAAGTTGGGGGAGGGCCAGAGGGAGAGAGAGAGAATCTCAAGCAGACACCACGCTGAGCATGGAGCCCAACATGGGGCTCCATCTCACAACTATGAGATCATGACCTGGGCCGAGACCAAGAGTCAGATGCTCAACCGAATGCACCACCCAGGTGCCCCTGATTTGGCTTTTAAAGTAAAGATGGAAAGACTATCAGAATTATAAAAAGTAAAAGAATTCTGTCATACAATGGAAGAGTGGTTAGGAGAAAATGATGAAAGCAGAGAGTGGTACTATCCAAATCAATTTAGCTTTATAAATGCTAATTTGTAATCATACCAAAATCTGAATGATTACTCTGACATTTAAATGTTCTAAGATATTAGTAAGAATTTACATGGTGTTTTCTAGCAGTTGAAAAGTACGTTCAAAAAAGAAAAATCTAAACAACTCAAGAGGTGACAGTGATATAATTAAACTAATGCTTCTATTTTATTTGAAATTTAAGTCAGTGATTATTAAACAAGGTTTTCAAATCTAATATGGGATCTTGTTTTATCTGGCTCCTTGACCTATTTTTAAAATAAAAATAAATGTGTTTCTTCAATGCAAATAAGACAAAATATAAAAAAAACTACCATCTTAACACTGTCACAGAAGGAGGGAGATAAATCAGTATGGATTGTGCCATGATAACAGATAACTACCTTGGTATCGGCCTCCAAATAGAGATACTTAAAATTATTGGCATAAATGCATTATAGGAAATTTTAACAGTATGTGAAAAGATACTATCACAAAAGAGGAGGGAGTGGATGTTAAAATTTTTTT